GAAGTATCGCCCAATCACAAAGATATCGCTCATACCCAAAGCATTTGAATCTATTGTAAATGATTTTCTGAAATTTGAATTCAAAAATATCATCAGCTCAACACAACATGGTTTCTGCCAAGAAAGATCTATTACTACAAATCTTTTACTCTATGAGACCTACATTGTCGATGCAGTCAACGAATTTTACACTGATTGTCAATACCAGCCAAAAATCTCAGTTGATAGCGAATAAACATATTGTAACAACTCATCATCATACCACCCTGTATATTTTCCGCTCTGCCTGTGGAACTTTTTTTGCTGCGTTTTCGCGGAAACGGCCAGCGAGCGAATAAACAAAAAAAATTATTTGTCTAGCCTCAGATCTTGACCTGTCAGCAATGCCAACATTGTTTCGTACGTTCTACTCACAGAACTCGTTCTACCTACTTGAATTAAAAGTTTTCGTGCAACGATCATCTTTATATCAAGAGAAAAAATCAATAGAGAGTTACCATATGTACAAATTTCTTTAAAACAATTTCAGATTCGTCCCATCTATCCGTGCAATTTTGATGAACCTTGAAAATCTTTGACAGTCTCATGTATATTGAAAATCACAAGAAATATCTCATTTGTTGATGAATCATGCACGGATCTCACGGAAATATTGCAAACTTTGGGGATCATTACAAATCTCATCCAAACTTCTTCAAATCTCACAATATCCAATCTACCGTTCACCTTTTGTTGAAATTAAACACACCTCGGACACGAATTAATCATGAACAACAAACATTACCTGCATTCTCGAATATCCAGAGATATTCATTCGAAAATCATGTTACATACATCATAACCATCATCACAAACTAAAATTGCAAATTCATCGAACGAAATTCCAAAATATATATCGTGTAATCGTCAATACAATCGAAAACGGGAACAACAAACGTTCAGTACATTCCAATACCAATAACTCATATTATCATCTGATATTTGATCGGAATGTCAACGTTATCAGCGTTTTCGAGACAAATAAGTAGCAAAAAAAATACTAGATTTCAGGATCGAACACGAAATTTCCTGTTACTCGACCTTCGTACTGTTGGTTCATTGGTATTGCTTATTTTGAAGAAGTCATGTACTTACATCACGCATAAATACCTAAATACCTCGACCACGGCTATCTGTTTCGCAGTGAAAATCGCCGGAAAAATAATTGCATTTTGTGACTTCACCGGGGCATGAGTTCAACCACTTCTGATGTTATATTATGGTCATAATATAATAAACACGAGCACAAATGACATGGACAAGGGTTACACTTGCTCACAACTCGGCTGCCTGCCGAATACTATATGAACCAGTCTTCACACACGTCTGTCATAGGCTCTGATCGAAGCACATTCCAATAAGCAGTAGCGCATCTAGTTGCTAGATAATAATAATAATATAATAATAATAATAATAATGTTTATTTACTGCATCTACCGATAGTATAAATTTACACATGAATAACTTACATCCTATGATATATATAATATATAACGAAAATGAAATTTAAATAGTACATAATATAATATGAATATATATATATATATACATAACCATGTCGCAACAAATAAACGGGAAAAAGCCGCAAAAAGCATAGCTTGCACGCGGTTGTTCTCGTGATAATTCTGCTATCTGGGATATTGTGTATACATCACATTTACATAAGGTAAGTACCTAATATGAGAATTATAGTCGTATAATTTATGAAAGTATAAGTGAGTGAAACATGAGAAAATTAAATGAGTATATTTTGTATTTCTGAAATATTTCAAATGAATGTTTACTATATTGCCACCAGTTAATTACCTACAGTACAGCACAGATTACCAAAACTTACTTACAGTGGGTAGTATTTATTCTTTTGTTATTGGTTTGCATCAATTAGTTTATGTATAAGTAACCTGTCACTATTGAGGAGATATTTTTTTATTTCATGTTTAAACTTGTATATATTATGTATTTTTTTGAGATCTTCTGGAATAGTGTTATATGCTCTACTTGCAAGGTGAGTGTAGCTTCTTTGTCCAACTGTTTTTGCTGAAAATGGAGTTTTGATCATTTCTCTTCGTTTATGCCTTGTTTCATATGTGTGATCAACTGATTTTAATTCATGTCTATTCTTGTATTGATTAACTGTCATTTTTTGAAAAAATAACTGTCTTGTATCAAGTATTTTACTATCTTTATAAACTAAATTGGATGAATACGTTCTGTTAACTTTCAAAATTATTCTAAGTATATATTTTTGCATGTTTTCTAGCTTCTTCATATGACAAGCAGCGGCACCGCCCCATCCAAGTAGTCCATAGGAAATTCTAGATTCAACTAAAGAATGATAGATCATTTTCAAGTGAGTAAAGTTCAAAAATCTACTCAAGTATTTGATTTTATAGAGTGCACATCTTAGTGTCTGTACTACATTATTAATGTGGAAATCCCACTTCATGTTGTTATCGATAGTTACCCCTAAGTATTTTAATTTATCCACTTTTTGAATTTCAATCGTCGTACCGTCCTTGCTTATATCCAAGCTGTTGAATTCAGGTAAATTATTTCTATAACAGGAGAAGGGAATAAAGTGGGTTTTCGTAAAATTAATCGTCAATAACTTGTGTCTGAACCAGTCCACTAATTTTGTCAAATCTCTTATCGTTTTTTGTTTCAGGTCTGACCACGATTCTCCTTCATATACGATTGCTGTGTCGTCAGCGAAACTTATTATGGATCCTTCGCTCTCTAGGGTGAGTAGGTTGTTTATGTAAATGGAGAATAGCAAGGGGCCCAATACAGTTCCCTGTGGAACTCCAAACCGAACTTCCTTGCTACTACTCAATTTATCATTATGTTGGACAAATTGCTGCCTTTCACATAAATAACTCTCCATCAGTTTATATGCTTGTCCTCTGATCCCTATATCTTCCAAGGCCTCCAACATCTGTGTATGACACACAGTGTCAAAGGCCTTTGCGAGATCTAAAAACACATCCAATGATTTGTATATTTGTTTAGTGACCGTACAAATTGCATCTTCAGTGGACTTGTTTGCTCTAAATCCGAACTGATTGTCTGAGATAATCTTATGTTTTTCTGAATAATATGTCAATCTTTTTTTCAACAGTTTTTCGAAAATTTTAGCAAAGTTCGAAATCAATGAGATGGGTCTATAGTTAGAAATTAACGTTTTTTCTCCAGTTTTATATAGTGGCTTTATTACTGAAACTTTGAAAAGCGATGGAAATACCCCTTGCTCTATTGATTTATTTATCAGAAAACTAAAAGGCAGTGCAATTTCTTCAGCAATTTCTTTCAGTACTTCTTCCCTGACTCCATCAATTCCAGGAGATTTACCTGACTTCAAGGTTTTAATTATTTCGACTACTTCTTTTTCATTTGTAGGATGTAAGAAGATAGATTGTAACAACGATATTCTTGGAGGGGGCTCTGAAGAGGGTTTATGGATTTTATTTGCAAGACATTCACCCACATTTGCAAAGTACGCATTAAATGATTCAGCGATTTCGATATCATTTGTTGACAACTCTCCATTTTCTAGTTCAATTTGTGTTATGTTATTATTTTCACTGTTTGAATCATTTGTTATACTTCTTATTGTTTTCCAGAGCAATTTCGAATTATCCTTATTTTTCATAATTTTTTCTTTATAATAATTATTTTTTGCTGTTTTTATTAGCATATCTAGTGAATTTCTGTAGGCAATAAACTGTTGTTTCAATTCGTTGTCATTTGGACTCTGTTTGAATCGTTTATATAACTCATTTTTTTTCTCAACAGACTTTATAAGAGAATCGGAAATCCATTTCTTCCTTGGAAATACTTTCCTGTTTCGCTTCACTTCAGTAGTGTTGATATCTATTTTTTTAATTATTGTATTTGTTAAATACTCTGCTGAATCATTGACGTTTGTAATTTTATGGTATTCATGCCAATTATATTGTTTCAGATCATGCTTTAGATTTCTGTAATCAACATATTTGATTTTTGATAAAACATTTTCATCGTTTTTTTCATTTTTTTCTGGTAGCAGACCAATTAATGTTGAATAGTGATCTGTTATCGCTGATTTAAGTATGAATGGAAAACAGTTTCTGTCTCCTATTTCTACTTTTGTTTTAATAAAAAAGTGATCAATACAACTTGTTTTATTTCCATCTACCCTTGTTGGTTTGTTTATCATAGATATGAAATTGAATTCATGTAAAATATTCAAATATTCTGCAACATGTATGTCCTCATTATTCAAAATATTCAAGTTTATATCACCGGCTAACAAGTGGTAATCTGAATATTCCCTCATTTCTTGGAGGTATTTTTTTAAACAACTCGTGAATGATTCAGGGCAGGTACTGGGAGGTCGATAAATTGATGTTATAATTATAACTTTTCCACCTAGAATGAGTTTTGTTTGTATCGAATGACATATATGAATTTTTATTATTTTGCTGGAACTTCTAAATTTGTTTTTAATATACACTACTACACCATCGTTTTTATTAATGTTTCCTCTACTATATACAATTTCATATCCAGGTATTTTGAAAAGACTAACATCTAATATTTCAAAAGTTTCACTCAAAATGATCACATCAAAATCTTTTTTATATTGGTTCAAATAAATATTCAATTCATCAATATTCTTTGACAGACTTCTGATGTTTTGATGATAAATATTTAATTCACATTGTGCATTAGTATTATAATCGGTTAGATTTTCTATCACTTTCGTATCTATTGGTTCATAATTTATGTCTCTTATGAATTGATCCATGATTTAATCTAAATTCTATCTATCCAGTCTATCTATATATATATTAACCGTGCAATGTACCTATTAGATTTTATTAACTCAATTTCTCACAAAAATTCAATATCATAATTGGCAAATAACGAGGAAAAACAACAGAAAAATTTCACAACTGAGAAAAACGAAAACGATTGAAGACTCAGTGCCTTTTTGGCCGTTTCTTCCGCTGATCACTAGGATTTGGTGAGTTTCCGTTACGCTTTGATGATGAACTTCCTTCTTCTTGAGTCTCAGGTAAAAACGAATTTGTGCTGTTATTTTCTTGTTGTTGGTTGGAGAATGAAAATTCAGGATCTGCACTTAATTGTTGATATGTATATACAACACTATCCACTATCAACAAACTATTTCTAATAGTTGCTTTCCTTCCTTGAGATTTGGCTTTATTTAAATGTATCCTAAGCTTTTTGTGTACTTCTTGTTCTTCTTTTGTCAAGTCTTGATTGATGAAGATTCCTTGATTTTTCAATTTGTAACAATTTCTCAGTATTTCTTGTTTCTTCCAATAGCAGTTGAACTCAATTTTCAGGAGCTTTGATTTATCTTCCTTTCCACCTAAATAATAAATATCATTCAAGTCTCCTTTCTCGATGTTCACTTCTAAAACTTGTTGTAATTTGGATAGATTATTTTCTGTTCCTTCTTCTTGTTTCAAACCAGAAACTATTATGTTATTTTTCCTTCCTTTCTGCTCCAGGCGATTAACTTTTATCTTCAAGATACTATTTTCCTGTTCGAGCTCTTGGATTTTTTTATTAGAATGTTGAATTTCACTAATCAAGCTATCTATTGTTGACTGGGCCTTCTCAACCTTTTTATCCAAATTCGCTTCCAGTTGGTCTATTCTCGCAAACAGCGATTCGATTGTTTTATCTCCCATCACAATATTTGCGTGCCCTTATGTACACTTGCTCCTATGGATGATTTTAAGCACAATCAAAAGTCAGTTTTCACTCATTTACCCACTAGATTTTCAAACTTTATTAGAGGAACACATTAACCATTGCCAACCGCTCCGCTCCACTATCTATATAGATGCTAACAGATATCAAAAAACTTCAGTCGTATACATACGGGGTTTTTAAAATGATATGAATTTGTCTCAATATCGAATTAATCTTATTTTTGACATCGAGAATTGTTATTGAGAATAGTTGATCAGAACTGAAAACTACGTTGAAATATGGAATTACATCCAATTAGATCGAAAAAATCTTATTTGGTTGATAATCATTGTGAAATACATTATTTTGTTATTTATCATGTATTTGCAGCATAGAGGTTAAGAGACGTTATCAAATTTTGAATGGATAGAGTTATAACAGAAAAAAGTCTCCGATATTTTCAAAAATGAATTTATTTCTGGACAAATTGAGATTTTTTGAGAAAACTCATATTCGACTGAAAGAAACAATTAGATTCGATGATTGTATTTCAGGTTTGAGACCATGCAGAACTTTTCATAAATGATAATTTTTTTCGTTAAATCAATAATAAAAACGTTTTACATATGGTGCGTATGTTGAATACGAAAATAAACACACTCAAATTATGTTAGTTTTAGTAAAAACCAGAAATGTCGAAATTTTGAACAATAGAAATATATAGCACACCCGCCCATGTATCATCTTGAAATTTCGAAAATTGTTCTTTATCAGTCTTCAAACGCGTCTCATATGGAACCTTGAGTATAACAAACCCTGCATTGAATTGAAATATAAAATTGCATCAATTTTGGGCTCGAAGCATTTTCGTTTGTATCATATATAGCTACATAATGTTTCAGATACTCTGGCACAAGAAACTGTTAGGAATAAAGTATACGTTATTTTCTTCTCAAACCAACATCTAGAATGAAAATTCTCGTTTTCGGAATCCTGAACATAATTGAATTTATTTTCGTTCTGAATTCCTCCTAGGTACCTGTTTGTAGTTTGTAGACATGAGTTGTTCGTCTATACCTCATGACAGCTAATCGTCTATACCATATGACAGCTAATCTATCATTGATGGCAACGAATATTTTTGAGATGACAAGATGCCGAATATTTTCAGTTTTGATTCTTGTTTTATGAAAGATGCCCTTCCAGTGCGTTCCGTGAATAGTTTCGATTACAAAAAAAACTGTTACGAAATATTTTGGCAATTTTGTAACAAATGTGAGTTGAATTTGTTCCAAACTCAAGAATCATGAGAACATGCTCAAAATATGTAAGACCTAGTAGAACGTGCAATGTTTCAACTTTTAAATCATTCCAGAAATATATACACCTATACAGCACATCTGCTCACGTATCGCTTTAGAATTACTACATCTATAACCACAAGATGATACATACCTTCACCCTCCTCCAAAACATTTTTGTTTGTATCATAGCTACATGATGGTTCTTCAGATTCTGCATTGCCTAAAAATTTTGATATTAAAAAATCTGTAATTTTCTCCACAAGTGCTGAAAGTGAAACACTCCGTCTCCAGTGAGCAATTAAGATATGATGTGATATGATAGATAATCCAAATTTTTGTTAACGATATCACGGGGCTTCTGACCTCGCAGTCAACTTGTAGTTGATTTAACACATGATGAAAAATAACGACATTTCGTGTAATCGAAAAAGTAACCAGAAGTAGACTTCTCCCTACCTACTAGCCTGTATATAATTACTGATTTGGAAAATTGCTGTAATTTCTTCCTAATCGATGGATATCTCACCAATACCTACCTATTCTAGTTCCTCACTTATAAACATTCATCAGTAACTAGAATACTCGCCAGCGACTTCATCTGCAAGTTACCTTACTCACGACCCCTTTATCATAGTCATTCGAATGACCCAATTCATCTAAAATATATTTCTAAAGGTTCAATTGTGAAATCTCTTCAAAAGGTCTTTGTCCAAATTCCAAAATCAAAACTTTGGATTCGTCTCGGCGATGACGAATCAGTCAGGACATGTTATTTCGTAGTGATTATTATTATTGACTTCAAATTCAAATAAACTTACAATAGTAACTTGCGGACCCACCATTTATTCAAAAACCATTTTCCATGCAAAACTTCAAACACCCTTCTCATCCCCTTAGAGATGTCCTACAAAATATATAATCGTCTGAAAACGTTGGAGTTTGCTTCCATAATCAGGCCGGCATCTAGTATATGAGGTTAATAGTAGATGTAAGTACATTTTCACTTTATTACATTACCATTGTATCATTATTACGATATTTAAATATCATCGTTAGCCCATTTCAAATTCACTCGGTTTGTGCTAAGCATGTCATTCTAAATTCTGAGCTGATATAGATAACTAACTAACCAAATTACGACAGCTTTCCAAATGAGTAATCATATACACTGTGTCCAAGATAAGGATGTCTAGCATGGGGATGATGATGATGGTTTCTCCGAAGCAAATCGTACGGAAAATCTCCCAACGCAATTTTGTGAAGCTTAAAAAGTGACAATGAGGAAGTGTCCTTTGTTTTCCTATATATCTTCAAATAACGTCGAAAAAAAATAAAACGAAATCGAAAAATTTGGATTTTTGATATTATCTCCGAAACTACTTGGAATTTTGAAACTTTGAAAAAATGCGCAACTTTTCTCTGATTCAACCATCTTCGTATCTCTTATAGTTTCCGAGATCCCCATGATAGACATCTTTATCTTGGACACAGTGTATACCATAAAGGATATTTATTTCTATTTGCAAAAATCGTCTTCCAATTTTCTGGTTGAGGCGGCATTGAGTAGTCTAAACTATTTTAAGAGAATCGAGCATTGTTGAAAATATACAAGGTCATTCATCTAACTAATTCATTAGATGTTTATTGAGAACCAACAAAGATATCAATTTGAAATTTTGGGTACAGCCATTGAGTCATGTGATCTATTTTTCTAAAATATTTTCAATTAGCTGTCACATCCAGTTGAACCGGAAGTGACATATAATTAGTTTTTTAATGACACTCTATATATCATTGCATTTTTAGATTCTCCCCGAAGAGCTGAATCCACCGATATATCACACTTGGGGTGAAATGATTACAGAGACAAAGGGTCTTAAAAATCGGGATTTTTCAACTTTGAGATTGTTTAGTTTCGAAACTATTCATTAATGGTTGAAATGGCTTACTTGTCTCTATTCTAACTTTTGACTTTCTATCAATTGATATTTATTTGGAATAGATACAGTGTGATCAACATTCAGACTCCTGAACCACCCTGTATTCGTTTCAATTAACTGTCAGTAGATAGATAATCGAAAGTAAAGATAGACATGTGAGCCGTTTTGACCAATAATGAATGGTTCCGACACGAAAGAATCCTGAAGTTGAAAAATCTCGATTTTGTACACCCTATATCTCTGTAAACAATTCCGGTAGATCCCAAGTGTGTTAGATCGATGAAATCAGCTCTTCAGGGAGAATGCAAAAATGCAATGATAAACTGGGTGTTCCATAAAAAAATAAGTTAATGTCACTTCCGGTTCAACCTGGAAGTGACACCTAATGTCACTTCCGGTTCAACCAGGAAGTGACACCTAATGAAAAATATTTTAGAAATATAAATCACATGACTCAATGGCTGAACTCAAAATTTCAGATTGATGTCTCTTTTGGTTCTATAAACATCTAATCAATTAGTTAGGTGAATGACCCTGTAGGAATTCATACGAATTTTCATTATTTTTGGATTCATTATGTTTGAAACTGAAACTAGGTATTTCAGGCCCCTTCCAAATTCACGTTCATTTAATCATCATAACATGAAGAAAATGAGATAACTTACCATCAATAATCGTATATTCCAACTGTGTCCCTATCGATTCTACCTGTTCCAGTTCACTACCAGTTCGAGCAGCCGAATCTGAAATATTTACATTTCAATTGATAATTACAATAACATCCCAACTGAATTAAGATATTAGGGATCATAAAATTGAGAATTCTCATCGAACTGAAGGAATATAGCTCGTTTCTTCATACAGGACGTCCAGATAATACGTGGACAACAGGTAATGGCAGACACCTAGGCGAAGAAAATATCGATTCAGCCTAAGTAACTTATATCCAAAAATGCTCCGTTAAGCCGTCAGAGTGATTGGAAGATTGACCTATATAATTATTTTTTCTACTCGAAAACGTGCTGATAAATAGTCACCATTTTTTGTGTGCGGTTATGTACTACAAAATTACTTTTTCAGTGCTGACTGAGTTCGATTCAATAGTAATAATTGTCGGCTAAACAAAGCATTTTCGGATATAAGTAAGTACTTATGCAAAATCGATCTATTTTTCGCACAGGTGTCTGTCATTAACTGTTATCCACTTTTTTCTTTGGACACCTTGTATATTGTAAAAGTAGTTTGTACAAACAAGAGGAGATATGATGTCCATATAGCACCAAAACAGGTTTTGAGCTCGACGCCTTATTAAGCATAAGATATATGTATACAATCATATCCATTTAGCTAACTGAAATAGCCTACTCATGAGTATATTCTGTTACCCGTTATGAAAATTTGAAATATAAATATGTAGGAGTAGAAAAAGTACTACCTATATTATAAGTGTGCTATTTTAGTAAGCTGAATTGATATGATTCATATTTCATATTTCAAATAAAAAAATAATTCTCTTATATTATGGCATCAGGTATATGTTACCGGCTCAGAATACATATGTATTATTCGAATTTTTGGTCTCAGAGTTAGTAGCAGTCCATCGATTCTTATCCTGGTAGATCATGAAATGAATCTTTATTGAAGAATAACAACAATATCAATAATCATACCTCATCTTATAAATATGTGGAGGCATGTACGGAATTTATATTTCCTACGACCGTGCGTTCTTGCCACTTTCCTGCACGCATT